ATATGCCTTAAAAATCACGTCTTAATCGACTTTTGGAGCAAAATGTCGTAAAAAGTCAATTTGTATTCCTTTTTTGAACACAAGTTGCAACTTAATATATGTTGTATTAAATTTATGTTGCAAAATTATAGCTTATGTAAAAATAAACAATTTTTGTGTACACATTAACCCGAAAAAAATCTTATCTGATGTGTGTTTTGAGCCAAAATTTAGAAATAAAGTCAATTTTTGACCATCAATCGTAGAGTAGCAAATTTTTCGAATAGTCTCTTTATAGAAATATTGTCGCCACAATTAAAGTAAACAGTCAAAAACAACGTTTAACGAAAAAAAAATACCATATACAATGATATGCATCGAATTATGAAAAGCGTATGTACCGAATATTTTGTATTATAAATTGTAGTGTGCCTGGAAAAAAGTTCTTTAAACGCCATATTTCATTGTGCAAGCGTCAGTACGGTGAATGTTGTTTCTATTATTGTGATTATTATTACGATTTTACGCTGTTACGTTTTTTCATTTTTGGTTGTTTTTCTTTTGTTTTTACCTTTGTTGTTTTGTTGTTACGTTTTCTCGTTTGTTATTAGGTTGTTAAAATTGTGTTGTTATTAAGACGCAAATATAATCGTGCAAGAGAAACATTAACAATTTTTTTTATGTTTATGGTTATTTCAACCCTAAGGGTAAAGAAAATAAACAGAGATGTTCCGTGGGCTCCAAAAAGCGTGTCCAGAAATTGTTACAATGTTGTTTTTGATTGGAAGGCAAAGAAAGTTCATTCTCTACCATATGATATACCAATGTTATGATTTGATCCTGGCCTCATGATTCTCAAATTGTAATATTTGTGTAAATAGTGTAATTTGATTAAACAAAAAAATTTTAAAAATAAAGTTTATGTTCCCGTTGCACCATTTCGATGATGTCCCAGTACCATCAACATTTCCAAGCCCAGTTAAGTTTTCATTTGCAGCAACTGCATCATATTGTAGCTATGTTGGAGCTATTACAACGGAAATAGGAAATGTTGGCATACTTCCTAAATACAAATAATTTGCTAGCAACTAGTGCAACAATTTTTCACCGTAAATGAAGAAAAACGTTGGCGTATTGCGAAGACGTCAGGAAGCTAATGGGCATGGGCATTATTACGAAAAAGATTATTGGCGCCTGTTTATAGACAGTTATAAAAGTAGTTTAAAAGCCGTGCTATTGCATAAATCGAACGACAAACCTTCAATCCCATTCGTCTACAGTACGGACACAAAGGAAGCTTATGATAAAATTAACTACATTTTGGAACTGGTCCGGTATGAGCAACATCAGTGGAGAATTTGTTGCGATTTAAATGTTGTCGATATACTCTCTGGATTGCAAGCTGGATACACGAAATTCATGTTCTTCTTGTGTAATTGGAATACGCGATACACTGCAATGCAGTGCACTGCTGACGAATACGCAAAGAACGATTGGAAAGATAGGAAGGACAGCGAATTTAAAAATTGTAATGTACGCGAAGCGCTTGTAGCAACTGGGAATTAATGCCATTTCTTCATATTAAACTTGGAAAACTTAAACAGCCGTAACGAAATTTTCACCGGAATTAGTATGAACAAATTTTTAAAGTTCTTAATGGTCCATGGTATCCATAAAGGAAGTTATAACTGGTTTTTTGGGCAAACACCGTTTTAAAAATTATGCGTATGCTCAATGCATTTTGAACTATTTGTGTACATATGTCACTCAATATACAGTATTTGCATCATCACTTGCAATTATAGATGTGTCGGTCAGATCAGTGCACCGGGTCTTATAAGTGATCTACCTGAACCGGTTCACGAAAATTAAACGAACCGGCTCACGGGTCCGAAATTACAAAGCAGAGAACTGTGTTTGACTAGCAGCCGCGCTTAAGCCGTTCTGCTTCACCACTATGCACAGGCCGCCCATGGCGAGCGGCGGGACGCGAGAGATTTCTTAGTAAGATCTGAACCAGTTCCCTGGAGCTAAGAACGACTCGCACTCTTTAACGTTCGCAGTACGTTTTGTTTTTTGTGATCTAAAAATTTTAAATATGAATTAAAGACGGCAAAATTATCTATTAAATGATGCTTCAACAACCGCAACCATTGGCGTAGATATATTTTTTTTTTAATCACAAAATGTTTAAAAACTTGTTTTTTGCACATTAATCGCCGAAACCATATTTCACAAAAAAAGGACAACAGAAAATGGTTTATCTATTAAAAAAACTATGTATTTAAAAAAAGCAGGCCCCCTATATAAATTTAGTAATGTATGTTCAGTTGAGGTAGGTATTTGCTTACGCAATAATACTACTATCAGTTGCTTACATTAAATTGCCAACAAGGAGTAAATAAAAAAATCTAGTTATCCACCACCTTTGCCAGGCAACACTTATTTTGGAACGGATTCTGAAAAAAGAACAGGCATTGAGATTGAGACCTAAAACACTGAATTTGGTCTCTAAGAACTACCAAGGTGACATATTTTGCATGTTAAATGCTTCTGAAACATCCTGAAACTCTCCTAACAAATCACTTGGAAGAATGTCCACCGCGAGTTTATAAAATAAAAAATAAATACAAGATAAACAACATGGCACATCCTAACTTCAAAGAGTTGTTAAAAAGAGCAGTTGTAGAGTTTTTATCTTAAAATATTGCTTTTTCTTATGTTGTTATCATAACCTTTATTAATAAATAATATTTGAAAAGTTCTTACTTGTCTTTTTTGTTTTATATAGGTTATATTTAAATAAAAATGATGCTGCAGTGATGAAAGTAACCAATGGCAGGTTATTCACAAACAAACGTACCCAAACATACATTTTTTCCAGGGGCCTCCATTTTAAAGATAATAGTAGAGATGTAAAATGCTCGAGCATTTATTTTTGGAGAACGCAAATTGAGCATAAACGAGAATAAACGAGCATAAACGAGCAAAAACGAGAAATTCCCGAGAATTTATTAACAGCATAGTCGAATTAGGACATTGCACGTTATTTCTCAATATTCTCAAAAAGATTCTTAATTTTCTTAATATTCTCGAGAAGATTCTCAATTTTCTCAATATTCTCCAGAAAATTCTCAATTTTCTCGAAAAGATTCTCAATTTTCTCAATATTCTCGAGAAGATTCTCAATTTTCTCAATATTCTCGAGAAGATTACCTTTTTCTGGGCATTAAAACCTTTTCTTTATAAAAAAAACTTTAAATTTAAATGGTTTAATCAAACAGATACATTAAAAAACATATAAATAACAAAAATATCACTTTGAAAAAATAATACCTACACTGAGAAAAAATGGGACAAATAAACTGTGTAGCTAATATTTTTATTAATAAGGCTATCTAAACAATTAAAATTGATCCCCATCTTGTGCTAACTGGTAATTTAAGTGAAGATTTTTTCCCTTTCTTTTCCAATTGTATGTTAGTAAAAGTAGCCAGCGCAATGTGAGAGTTGGATATTTCTTTTACAATTTGTTTACAGTGGCCTTCAATATCTTTTAAACTATTACACTTCATTATGTTGCCAACCAAAAGATTAAGGCAGTGGGAAATGCATCCATATTCAATAATTTTTAGTTGCTCTGCAACTATCTTTCGGGCTTTAACCATTGCGGCGGCATTATCTGTCACAATGCCAATTACTTTATTTGATCCGATGTCTAATTATTATTTTTTAATAAATGTCTTGATAACTTTACTTTTTAATTTTTGGTTAATTTCCAACATATTTTTTTAATTAAAACCACGATTTTAGTAATTGATTTTAGTTAACTGATAAAAATCATCTCAGCCTTGACCCTGAGTAATAAAATATAATTATAACTTACCTACAACTTCCACAAGATTCCCGCCAATTTCGTCAACAAAATCATTACTTGACGACGTCAAATATTTTTTTATTTATTGTGGCATGTTTTGTATATTGCGAATGACAAAACTTACAGTTATAAAGATTTTTATTTGTTTGTACAGTGAAATACTGCATACCCTTACCCGGCTGTCATAGGTACGCCGATCGAGCATTTTGCGAGAATTTTCGAGCATATTCAAGGGAAGCTTCTCGATTGTGCTCCAAAATGCTAGGCCATGAAAGTGCGCGCAAATTCATTTGAAGCTTCGAGAATCTTCGCGAAGCTTCTCCGAGCACAATCGAGAACGTTCCCTCCCTCACATCACTAGATAATAGTAAAAACCTAAAATGAATCACCAAATAACCTTTTATATTTGGATTATTCGGCAAAACAGCCATTTTAAAAAACATATTTTTAAACTTCAGAGGACATCCTTATTCCAATACTGTAGTCAGTTTTTGGTGTCATTTTTATGTGACCTATGACCACTGTGAGTGTTAAAAAAAAACAAAAAGGTGAAGAGGATACAGGAAGATTTTGTTGCTTTTTGTTCACAAAAATTGTTTGTTTTTACAATAACTATAATTTTGCAACATAAATTTAGCAAAAAAGGAGAATACATTGCAACTTGTGTTGGAAACAGTAATAAACATTGACTTTTTACGATATTTTGCTTAAAAACTCAATTAAGATGAGATTTTTGAGGCATAATGTGTTACTAAAATTTGTTGCTGTCACTCTTAGCTAAAAATGTTCTGAAAAAGTATATTGCTATCTTCAATAGTTGCAGAATTATTAGGTCAATTCAAAAATTTTCTAAAACTTCTAAAACTTTCTAAAGAGCCATAAAATAAAAATGGGAGCTAGCTTATCTTGATGTATAATTTTGAATGTGGTATGCAGAATTGCATCCTTTTTTCATAGCTCCCAAATTGTTGCACTGTGTAATTAGGCAAAATAATATTAATCAAAATTTAGGACTCATTAGTGAAGACTAGAGTGAAGTTTAATCATAGTAAATAAAATGTATACTAGGTTTTAACAATTTTTATTTATTATGTGATTATACTTCACTCTAGCCTGGAATATTGGCCATGTTATGATAACTTACTTTTAAATCCCAAGTAATAATTTCACCATTTTCATGACCAGTAATAATAGACTCATCTAAATTGTCCCATAAAATGGATGACACACGAGGACCATTGATTGGTATCCTTAAAATGGGGTCTTGATGAGATATACTTTCATCTACATTTCTTACATCAATAATAAACATTTCACAAGGCTGTTTCATGGCCTTATCTGTAGTGTAAACTGCCATATTTGCTGAGTAGCTAAACATACAGGTCCTTACAGAGGAGTTTGTCACGATGTTTCCTATTTCTTTTCCAGTCTCACAATCCCAAATTTTGCATGTGTTATCACCAGCCCCCGATAAAAATCTGGTGGTGGTCCAGTCCACATCTATACACCATACAGCCCCTTGATGGCCATTAAATGATCCCAGTCGTTCCCCATTAAGAGAATACCACACATTGGGTTTATTATCCTTGGAGGATGAAAATAAAAGATCGCCTTCTCTATTGTATTTAATTTGTGTTATAGCACGTTCGTGCCCTTGTAACATTAAAGGTTTCTAAAAAAATAATTGTAGGTTAGTTTACCAGAACTCCAATATGTTTGTATGAGTAGTTATTTATGCCAAATGTAATGAAAGGTTCATTATACTAACCATAAAACTTACCATTTTAAAATAAGAACAATCTTATTAATTGAATAATTTTTGTATTTACACGCTTTTATACAATTAGAACTTGCAGAAAACTGACAGTTATCAAAAAGAAATCTGTTTTACCAACCACTAGAGGTCTAAAACTATCGATAGCACTATCGATAAATATCGATAGTTTTAACTATCGAATAATATCGATAGTTTTTAAAACTATCGCGATAGTTTCCGATAGTTTTATAACGCTTTAACTTTTAGCCCACTATTAAAGCTTTCATGAAAATCTTAATCTTGGTAAGTTTTAATAGCAACTAAAGGTACACTCACATTACACTCATTCTGTCAAATAATTGCACTATGTTTTAAATTCCGATGTCTTGTTTTGAAATTTGGCGCCGAAATTGCGTTTGTTTTTGTCATGGTTTCGTCATGGAATATATTTGTGTATTAAGAGCGCAAAGTAATACATTGCCGCTCTGAGCGAGAAGATTGACAAAGTAACTTTGTCGCTTGCTCCTCGTAAAAGTGCAACTTTGCGCTTTCTTTTGGAAGCGCAAATTTGTACTTTACGCTTAGTTGTAGAAAAAGTTTTTTTAACAATCATAGATAATAAATCAATTTGGATATACCTATGTTTTTTCTAAAGAGTTCACCAAAGTGTTTTAAAAAATTTGTAAGAAATGGAGAAATTCATAACTCGATCTGGGTCCGATCGGACCCAGATCGAGACAAAAAAGAAAAAAGGTAAGTTTGTGGGATTTTATAGGTTTATATAACTATAGTTTGTAAAATTTGTAAGTTTCTGGCAGTTTGTAAAATTTGTAATGTGGTTTTTGAATAAAAATAAATAATTACTTTACTTTTATTTTTTAATTATGTTTTTTTTTATAATTTACTCTCACTATCGAAAACTATCGATAGTTATCGATAGTAAAATATATAATAATAATAATAATAATAATCTTTATTTAATCAATAAGTACAATATAAATTTTATGGGTACAATCTTAACTTAAAAACTAAAGTAGAACTTAAAAATTAAATAAAAAGAAAGTAATCCCCACTAAGCAGGAAAATTGCTTATTGTGGGTGCTAATAATAACAAATTAATAAAGTATATTCTTTATAAAAACATAATTATTTTATATTTATAATGCACATACCCAGATAGCACAAAGGTATACTATGGACGTCCAATGGACGTATGCTCGTGGACGTCTGTATGTACATAGGATGTCAATTTTTTTTCTATGGACGTCCCATGGACATCCGTTTAGAGTCCAGATGTCACAACTTTGGACATCCATAAGTCGTCCACCGATGGACGTCTATAAGGTGTTTGAACCATTCCTCCAGCATCCAGGACCTGCTTTTTTGCTTACTTTAACTGTTTTTTGCGACTGTATTTTCATTGCGATGTTGCAGAAAATTTTCTACAACATGACTAAAATGCCTTTTGTCTGGCTCAGTAACAATCCCACTAGGAATATAAATATTCTAAAAGTTGTTAAAAGTTAGAACATTCAATGTTGAACATTGCAGGAAATCCTTGTATTCGACTCAGGAAAATTACATTTGCAATACTACAAGTGTTTAACATTTCATTGATAGCTTAAGTCCTTTATAGCACGCGCTTGCTTGAATGTCAGTGAGATTGATCATAACTGTTGTTATGCAGCCAACAATACGTTTTAACTTGCATTTCTGTAATAATAATTATGGACGTAAAATGGACACTATATGGACGTCCATTAAAATCGTACAAATGATGTAAATATATGGACGTACATAGTACATCCATTTTTAGTCCGTGGACCAATGTACTTAAAATGGATCTTAAACGGACGTCCATTGGACGAATGGTGCTATCTGGGTATATTATAGTATAAAGCATCCTTATAATATAATAATAATTATTATTATATTATAAGGATGCTTTATACTATAATATACCCAGATAGCACCATTCGTCCAATGGACGTCCGTTTAATGATAATGATAATATCCTATAACCACCTATACTACAAATATATTATAAAAAAATATGTCATATCAAACCTAAGAGAAGGTCCCATTTTCAATAAAATTTTCAATTTTATGTGGAGATTGTTTAAATAACCAGACTTTAATTTTTTTATTTGTTATGTATTTAGTATTTGTTAAAGAGATAGGTAAAAAATTGTACAGTCTGGGAGCTAAATAAGTATGAGATTTTGTTCCAATAGTTTTTGTTGCTTTTTTTGTTGTAATATTTATGCTGCCCTTTGTATTATATGCATGAGTTTTGGTGTATTTTTCGTTTTTAAATTGCCACTTTATTAATTGTTGGGCATATATTTGTCTAACATTTAATATGTTTTTTTCTTGCAAAAGTTGGTTACCCGAGTAGTACAAATCTTTTTTAAACATTATTTTTACAATTCTTTTATGTACCCTTTCCAGGTTATTCAAATGCGTTTTAAGTATGCCTCCCCAGGCTAAGATCCCATATCCCAGTACCGAGTTTACAAGTCCATAGTAAGCAATCTGTATTTGTTTTTCATTTAAAATATTATTTAATTGCTTAAATGAATAGAACATTCTTCTAATTTTTTTACTTAAGTGAGTAATATGGGTATCCCATTTAAAATGAGCATCTAGGTGTACTCCTAAATATTTTATTTCATTTACTTGTTCTATTTCCAAATTATTTGACCAAATATCGAATAATATCGATAGTGCCAACTATCGATAGTTTTAGACCTCTACCAACCACCATAGATTAATCCATGGAGCCTCTCTGCATGGAGCCTACACAAGGAGCCCGAACTTAATAGGGAAAATTTACAAAACCGTCCACTAAATTGCACAAATTAAGTCTTTTTTTTCTTCACCAGCGGCGCTGATTGTCGATGCGTCCGTATGACGTGAAAATAGTATCGAAAATACATGTGATTAATCCATTGTCTTTTTAATCCTTTGAATAAATAGTTATTTGTTTTACAAGTGTTGAAAAGCGACTTATTCATGCGAGTGTTTATAGCCTAATTTATAGATTGCCTTCCTTCTTTCCTCCCTTCCTTCCGTAAAAGAGGAACAATACAAAAACCGTTGTGCTGTTTATAGAATCCAGTACCCTAAAGCCTGATTTATAGATTGCCTTCCTTCCTCCCTTCCTCCCGTAGAAGATAAACAATATGAAAACCGTAGTGCTGTTTATAGATTGCCGTACGGTAATCTATAAACAGCATTGCGGTTTTCGTATTGTTCAGCTTTTACGGGAGGAAGGAAGGCATAAGAGCAATTCAGGTCTTATTGGGGTTTTCTAGTATACCTATTCTGTGTAGGTGTGCGTTTGTAAGGCAATGTCCTGTTCTTAAGCACATGATAGCTGTTAGGTCACCTAACTTAGGTGTCTTCGATTTTGTTGATATAGAACCACGGTTTATTCGGAAGTTCGTCGACTATCTTTCCATACCAGCTCCCTGTTCTGGGAAATGTTTTTAACCATTCCTTGTTGTATGCTTGGTAAAGTTCTTTTTTTAATTCAGGTAGTTTTTCTGTCGTCTCTGGTTGAAAGTTTAAAGGGACATTAAGGTTTACCCCACGGTCTTATATACAGGTCTTGCAACTTCGCCCAATTTCAATAGGAAAAGTGACCTCTCTAATGAGACACCCACCAGATGGCGCATCGAGTTGAGGGTGAACCATAGATGTTTAAAGGTCGTTTTTACCTTCTTTATCTTTGGGTTTTACAATCGTTAGATAAGCTCTCTGGTGGATAATTTTCTTAGATAGAAGGTTTCTATGAAAGTTATCCGCCAAATAAGCTAACTTAATCTAACGATTGTAAAACCGGCTCTAAGTCCTTAAAGTCTATGGGATAAAGGTCAAATGAACTACCTACTTATGTTCTGTGAAGAAACATAACCTAAATTTTTATAAACAAGCTTGTGTATTTTGTTACAGGGAGTTTTTACTTATTGTTATTGTGATATTCGTTATTGTTATATTATATTGTTCTATTTGTTCTTGTTATATTTGTTCTTGTTATACATTAAATGTATTTGTGCTTTTTAATAGACATGAAGTCCTGTGTTGTGCCAAAATGTAACCAGCAAAGCTATCGTTCCGGCATTAAAATTAAGCGGTCCATGTTTAAAGTGCTAACAAATAAGGAGCGGTTAAAAACATGGCAATGTGCAATAAAAAACATATTATTGACACCTTCACATTTTGTATGATTATTAAATAATTAAGCACATCGTGTTGGTGAAATATATATTATTTTAAATAAACAATCAACCCATCCCCGCCAAGATAATAAAAAAATCGGTTATTAATAAATTAGCCAGAATATTGGTTGGTTAGTTTTTTGTGTTACTAGAAATTTTGGTTTTCATATTAGCCAAATTGAATTGGATAGTTTACAAATTATCCAGCTATTCCTAAATAATTTCAAGTAAATTAGCCAAGACCCTTGGTTGGTTTACAAACTAGCCGCTAATTTATACATATACATATACATATGATATACGTATGTATTTTATACATTAACATGTTTGGTCTGGGCATGTGACGGCCGAGGACTTTGTGCATAGAGTATAGACTTTGTTGTCCTATTTTGTTAACGTAAATTATCCGAAACAAACTCACAAATATTAAATTTTTGAAAATGTAAACAAAACAGAAAAAGAATTTAAAAAGTTAGGTTATGGTTATGCAGTAGTCAGGGTTGGGTCAGTAGAAAACCTTAGGTAATTTACCTTGGTAGAAAAGGGTAGAAAACTTGTTTTCGACTTGCGTCGAAAACCTATAGGGTTTTCTACCTACGTAAATTACCTTATTCGACCTTCTCCTTCCACTTCTCTATAATTGATAAAAATTTGCCCTCATGCCAAAAATTATGTTGGGGTCTCCCAACCAAACGCGGCCCTTTCTTTCCCACCATAATAATGTTAAAAAACTCCAAATAACTTCAAATTTATGGTAGGTGTCTGATTTTTCACAACATTTAACAAATCATAATAAACAAACTTCCATAACCTCACATTTTTTGATATTTGACAGTATTCTACTTTTTTACGTTTTCTACCGTCGAAAACGTCGAAAAAGGTTTTCTACATGTCGAAAACAAAAATGTAGGTAGATACCCAACCCTGGCAGTAGTTCCACATTTAACTAAGTAGTAGTTTAATTGACTTTACCCCTTCGATCTTAGCGCCACCTAGCGGCTTGGCACGTTAAGGAAGCCACCTCGAAGCTTAAAGTTGCAAGACCTGTATATAAGACCGTGGTTTACCCCAATATTTGCTAGTTGGTCTGCAACCACATTTCCGTGGATTTCGTCGTGTTCTGGTACCCATGCTAACCCAGATAACATCTGTGATTTTTATTCCAAAATCACATGATGATTTTTATTATGTGAGCTCATTATGCACACGAAGCTTCACTAGTGATGTATATTTATGATATCACATGAACGTCACTTAATGATTTTAACCAATGAGTTCATAACGTACTCGTAGTGAAGTAGTCATTTGAAAATCATGGGTGATATCAATGTGATGGCGAGGTGAATTCATACGATGCACACTAGGGTGCCACTTATTTATATAGCAAATTTTTTTTTAATTAATTTTCATAAGCGCGGACCGGCATGTTGTAACATAAGGTCTAAAACTTAAATAGCGAAAATTTTAGAGAAATCGGACAATTTTAAAACGTGTTACAGAGAGGTTCAAATTATAAGGGTGTCGAAAAGTATGTGATGTCGAATATTGGTAATAATTATTAAATATTATGGGATGTGTGCACGACCAATATTGATGGAGAGTATAGTACAGTTCTAAATCTGCCCTGCTGATTAATTGGAAAAGATAGTATATTGAAGGACACCCAAACCGGTTGTTATGCGATGTAAAACAGTAGAGAGGGCAGTCGTAGAAGAACCACTCAATGCACGACATGTGCGTTTTATTTACTTGAGTTTACTTTTTTAATACAGTTTAATTTATATATTTCAAAATTATAATAATGCCATCGTTACGAGAAGAGATTTATCTCATTGGTTATCCAAAACTAATTGATGGCAAACTACCTTCAAAAGGAGACTGCTTAAAAGTTATGTTTTATAATATGAGAGCCACACATTTAAATCTAAATGAAAGTGCACGTCTAGTGATAGATGAGTGCTCGGTTTTTTGGAAAAAAGCACGCATTCCTATACAAGAATCACATAGAGCCGCAAAAAAATTAACAGACTTGTATAAAAAGTGGAGAGGCCTTCTACAAACAAAAAATAGAGATACCGACATTTATAAAAACAAAAGAGAACATTGGAAGGATACATTAAACGATTTATTCGATATTGCTCACAAAAATGCTCTTAGTCTACTGAAATTTGAAGAAGATAAGCAGTTTTTACTCAAGCATAGACTAAAAGAACGCGAAGGCTGCATGCTCGGAGTAGACCGTGCATTCGCAAAACAAGAACAGAGGCGACAAAAGCGCCAACGCCAAGAAGAAAACAGAATGAAGAAGTATCTAAATCTACAGACTGCATCATCTTCAGCAGGTAAACATTTTTATATTTAAATTTTTTATATTATAAGTAACAACTTACATAATAACAATATAATAAAAATTAAATAATATTATAATAACCAAATCATAAAATTATCTTTATTTACTGCTCTGGGTTGATAATAAACTTTGTTTAAAGAAAAAATTATATTTTACAGATCTAACGATGGAGGAGACTTTAAGTTCCGATTCGTGTAATAATATAACTGAAAGTTTAAATTCAGACCTTTCTAAAAATTCAGAAACAACTAAGCAGTACATTGACTCATCGCCAAAACCAAAGCGGGCACGAAAAGATATTTTAACGCCAAGACTCGCTGCCGTTTTAGACAAAATAAAAATAAGCGAACGAGATGCGGTTCATTTATTGATAGCAGTTTTGGAAGCAGTAGGACTAAATTCATCTGACTTTGTTGTTAATCGCACTTCAATACGTAAACAGCGAGAGACTTTTAGAAAAGCGCACAGTGAAAAAATAATTCAGAAATTTTCTGCCAACACTCAACCACTGACAATTCATTGGGATACCAAACTTTTACATAATGTTAAAGGTGAAACAGAAGACCGCCTAGCAATAATCGCTACGGCTCCAGGTATAGAACACATTTTAAATATGCCTGAGATACCGGCAGGAACTGGACTAGAAATGGCCTCGGCCGTTTATGAAACATTAGAAGAGAATAACATTTTGGACCAAACCCAGGCATTTGTATTCGACACAACTTCAGGAAAATTTAACGGTGCCTGTAGTTTACTGGAAAAAAGAATCGGGCGAGATATACTATTCTTAGGTTGCAGGCCCAGATAGCAAGAGTCTGTCCTGAGGACGTCCGTAGGATGTCTACTTCGGATAAGCCGGACGTCCTGAGGATGGCCCATGTTGGACAAATGCCGTCTGTGGGACGTCGACAGACTTCCAAAAGAGACAGTTTTGGCTATCCTCAGGACGTCCTATTATGGTCCTACGAGGACGTTATCAGGAAAGTAATGGAACGTCCTGAGGATAGCCCATGTTAGACAAATGCCGTCTGTGGGACATCAACAGACATCCAAAAGAGACAGTTTTGGCTATCTTCAGGACATCCTATTATGGTCCTATGAGGACATCAGGAAAGTAATGGGACTTTCCTGGGATATTTATTTTATATCCCTATAGGAAGTCCACGTCGGATAAACCGGACGTACTGAAGATGACCCTAATTTGTCTTTTCTAGGGATACATATGTATCCCTAGGAAGGTCCCATTACCATAATAGGACGTCCTAGGGATACATAATAATTATTTAAATGTCCCATTACTTTCCTGATAATGTCCTTTCCTATAAATATGTGGAATATATGGAAAGTGATACATCAAATAATTATTTCTGAAAATATATTTAAAAAAACAGAAACATATTGCACGTACAATAAATATATAAACATATACATACAACATATATGTACAACGTCTTGATAAACATTTATATATAAAAAAAAATTATATTATCAAAACAAAAAAAATATATTTTCTCTTCTAATCTTCGTCATCCTTATTTTACCACTGCCACTCTATGGGCCTTGCCTCTTTTTAAATATTTCTTTGGTGTACTTTAACCAACTCTTAATATCTGCTTCTACCTGCTTTCCAGTCACATTCATAGTCCATGAAACTGTTTCTAGTAATGAAAGAATTTTGTTTAATAATATATTATTAACGATTACATCTTGAGCCGCCAGGCGGGAGAGGTAAATTATCCTTGTGAATATTGAGCATATGCGCATTATTCACTCGGATGATTACATCTCTCGCCTGGCGGCTCAAGAAAGAGCATGGCATTACACTTGAAATAATATATATAATAATATGCATGCCTTATCTACTTCTATTAACAAAATTCTCAATAAATATATTAATTACGTGAGGTTTTAGGGGGGGAGGGTGTCGAGTCAAACCTCACCCAATCTCACGTGGGGGAAGGGGGTCTCGGTAAATATCACGTATTTTTTTTTCCAAAATAAACAGTGTAAAATTGCGAGAAAACTGAGTTATTAAATAAAAAATTATAAGCAATTTTTTTTAATAAATCTAAAGCAATCAAGCACAGAATAACTTATTTACATTAAAACTATGCATTTTAAAAAATCTCACGTGAGATTAAGGGACGGTGGAGGGGGTCAAGCAAAATCTCACGACATCTCACCAAGGGGAGGGAGGGGGTCGAAAAATCGCCAAAATTGCCTCAAGTAATTAATGGATGCCCCCTAACCTCACTTTCTGCCGAACTTCATGTTAATATATTTCAAACACGATTGTTTCATGTTTAAAACGAGTCGTTTTAAACATAACAACCCTGTCTTAAATGTCTCAAAAGAAATTAGGTATTGACCTAATACTTATTAGAAACTATAATTAAGTATACTTATTAGAAACTGAATTCCAATTAATTAAAACTTAAGGAAACCCAAGATTTCAGATTAAAAACCGTTGAAAAATATAATCAATTTCAACTCGATACTAAAAAACATTTAGGTTAATTAGCAATTTGAAGCCATATTTCTAGTTGGTCAAAAAAATAATGGTATCATTACTTACCACTTGTTGATATGCAAAATTCGCTCTGCAAATGGGTAAAAGTTCACTTAACACAAAGTAAAGCGCACAGAATAGAAGCAAAGCGCATTTAACAACACCGTGTCGTGAATGACAAAGAAATGGCGTCCCTAGACGATCTAGGATGGCGTCACAAAACATGGCGTCTTGCCCATATATGGAAATTCCGCTGCGGAATTCAACATACTTCCACAGATGGCGCTAATAACTTATTAGTAATAAGAATTCGTAATCTTTCAAAAATAAGATTCTTTTCGATTAAAAATTAAAAATTAACTAACAACTTTAATAAATACGTATAGAAAGCACAAACTTACAGTACAAGAATTTAAAAAAAATTTAGTGTCTATACTTAGAACGTAGGACGTCTATAGGACGTCTGTAGGACATCGTAATAAAATTGGTAAAAACAGCAAATTAGTAGATTTGTGCACATTTTATTATGGTAATTGAAACATTATCTTAGTAAAATTTGCACAAAGCTATTATTAATTTGATGTTTTTACCAATTTCATTACGACGTCCTAAAGACGTCCTAAGGATAGCCACCAAAAAGGTATCAATTTATCGTTTTAATTAAAAGTTTAAATCAACAGTTAAAAATCAACATGGTAGGTAGGTAGGTTCTTTTGTTTACATATTAAAATTTTTATAAGAACTAAAATATGTATCACGCTTTAAAAGCAGACGGTCGTGGGACGTCCTCAGGATATACGGTCCAGTCGGTCGGGTGAGGCCCTAACTAGGATATCCGTAGGACGTCTCATGCTATCTGGGGGCATCATATTTTTGAAATTGTTTTGGCAGCTGTGTTCACGGAAGCCAATTTGGGGACATCTACTGGCCCGGATATTGCAATTTTCAAAAAATTTAAAAAGTATTGGCCGAAAATAGATAATTTTGTGACAGGAATAAGGGAGAAACGAATTAAAGAAATATTAGGTGATGACTGCACTGAAATATTAAAGTTTGCGAATAAGAGAATTAAGGATAAGGACCACCCAAGAAGTGATTATAAAGAACTTCTTGAATTGATTATAATATTCTTAGGCGGAACTCCTCCTCGAGGTTTGAAATTTTCGAAACCTGGAGCCATGCACTTAGCCAGATGGATGGCTAAGGCTATCTATTGTCTAAAAATATTAATGTTTCGAAATCAATTTCCTGAATTAACCGAAACTAAAGTAAAGGGTTTAATTGAAGTAGCAGGATTTATTATCAAATGCTATGCATTTTCCTGGTTTAATGCGGTTAAAGCAGAACAGGCTCCTCTAAATGATTTGGAATTCCTAAGAAAATTAGAAAATTATAAGTCAATCAATAAGAACATTGCAGATAAGGCAATTTCTAAAATTTTAAATCATTTATATTATTTCAGCGAGGAGTGTGTGGGCTTTGCCTTGTTCGATGATAGAATTGATACAAAGATCAAAGCTAAACTGATTAAAAAAATGACTCTTGACGTGGATGAAGAAGAAAATAAAGAAGAAGAAGAAAAAGAATTTCCAAAAAAGCTAATACAGCAAACGGCAAATTTCAAAGCATTTATAGCCAGAGATAACTCTATCATTCTGGAAGAATTGTTCTCACGAAGAACAAAAAACCTTTTAAAAAGATTAAGCATCTCAACTGATTTCTTGAAAACAGATGCTAACAATTGGAATGATATGGAGGACTACAGAAATGGAAAGAATTTTATTGAACATTTAAAGGTTGTAAATGACAGCGCAGAAAGAGGAGTAAAATTAGTAGAAGAATACCACGAAAAAATTACAAAAGATGAACAACAAAAGCAGTATTTATTTAAGGTTATTATTTTGTTCATATTAATATTTGGTTGTTTAGTTTATCATACACATTTTGTTGTTTTTTTTTTCTTTCAGGTTATACAAGCATATAGACAGCAATATTCCAAAACTGCCAAATTACAAAGTTTAAGAGGCCACTTCAATATATAAAAGATTATTATTTTAAGGCACTTTTATTTTAGATCTGTAGAGTTTCAGAATTTATTTAATAAATTTTACACACCTATACTTAATTCTATGTTTATTAAATAATTTCAACCTCTCTGTAACACGTCTAAAAATTGTCCGATTTGTTTCAAATTTTGACCATTTTAGTTTTAGACCTTATGTCACGATATGTCGGTGCGCGCACTTCAAAAATCCAAAGTTGAAAAATAAGTGGCACCCTAATGCACACACTATAAGCGTTCGAATTTCGCGCCTTTTTCGTATGCGTGGTCAGTATATTTCGGATTGGTCAATGCGTTTGACATCTGAGAAACAATTTGTTTATAGTGTAAAGCATAGAAATAATACTAATATTATTTCTATGACTGCCACCAAGCGAAGGTAAATAAATTAGGCAACTCAGTGCTGTCATTTTATTTACTTACCTGTTTTGCTTTCCTTAATTTCTTATCTAATTTATTGATTAATTTTTTGAAATAAAAATAAAGAAAATCTGTTTTACTAAAATATTGGTTTTTATTGACTAAAAGATAAACAACAATGGAATATTTTCAATCCACCATTAATTACATTCATTAAGTTTGTGGATTATTTACACTGTACAGGTAGTCGGCTCGGGCAGTCTTGTTGAAATGCACCCCTTACATAATTTAATAATCATTATCATGTCGATATACATTTAATGTATTACATTATTGATAGCACTGAAAATTTTGGACTGCACTGTTGCCTAATTTATTTTCGAGCTTACCTTCGACGTTATGTGGTTTCGCTTCATGGCAGTAGTACGTAACACAACCGCACTATGCACTAGCGCCAAATTAAAATTCTGTTTACGAGTGTAAACAACATTTTAATTCATCGAATTTTTCATCGAGAAAATTCGCCTTGCGCTTACAGATTTAAATCTTGTCTAATTTTTATTCCAAAATAAATATTCTACTTTAACTTAATTTTAAATTAATAAATGCATTTTTCATGAAATATTATTATTTACATATAAACACCTCTTTTAAATAGAAAAAAAATATTCATACAATAAAAACTGAGTCTTAAAAATATAGATCACACCAGAATGATATAAATATATATGGAAACTTATCCAATACACCAAAAAATAAATAGGTAGATTTTAATTTATAATTAAATTTAATTTAGTAATTTTTATGAACGTTTATAAATAGGCAATTTTTAATTTTGATAATTTTTGTTTTGAGTTAATTTTTTGATGTCATTAAAAAGTAAAACGGCGTGCCATATAATACTGTATTATAAAAATTCAAGAAAAATTATTTGACAAAATATTTTAGAAAAACAGCCTCTTTGATAAAGTTCCCCCTTCTGCAGAATCTAACAATTTTCTTTTTAAAGATGGTTTTTCTTCTTTAGTTTTTCTAATATTCTGTGGAAGTGGTAATTTAGTTCCTAAAGTGGGAGCTGGCTTATTACTAAAGAATGGCATTTGTAAACATTCTGTGCACTCTTTTCTCTTAATAGGATTAAGCACCAGCAAACCTTCCAAAAGATCTAATAAATCATCTCCAGCAGCAGTAAATATGTTCTTGAGTGGTATTGGAGTAAATGGTTTAAATTCAATGAAATCAGATAAACTTTTCAGTCCAGGCCAGTTTTCTTCTGTGGGATTACCAAATACACTAAATATTTTCGTTAATTGATCCAAATCTGATTCACCAGGAAACAATGGTACTCTCAATAATAATTCAGCTAAAATGCACCCAACTGCCCACATATCAATACATGTGCTGTATTGTTTGGCTCCAAACAGTAACTCAGGGGCCCTGTACCATCTAGTTACTACCTGATGTGTATTTATACGGTTTGGAGAGCCAAAAAGTTTGGCCAAACCAAAATCCCCTATTTTTAAAACACCTGCCGCATTAACTAGCAAATTGTTGGGTTTTAAATCTCTATGTAGCATCCAGTTTAAATGCAAATATTCCAGTCCCTGAATTGTTTGCAAAATATATGACTTAATATTTGCTGTGGTAAGAATAATGGTGTTATCCTTTATTATTACTTCTAAATCAGTATCCATAAAATCAAATACCAAAGAAACATTGGACATGTGTCCAAATACATCTAATAAACCAATTAGATTTTTGTGATGAAGTTCCTGTAGTAGTTTAATTTCACGCAACGCAGTTCTATTAATTCCATCTTGAGCTTCTTGTCTACTTCCAATTTTAATTTTTTTTACAGCAACTATGTTATCTGTTTCAATATCTTTAGCTTTATATACAGTAGCAAACTGTCCTTCACCAAGAAACTCAATCTTTTCGTAACGTTTTAGTTTATTTATCATTTCAACTATTTTACAGCTTCTTTAACGTTCAAACAGTTTCAGCACAGAAAACAGATTATAAAGGTTGACAGAAAATAAGTTGTTAGGTTATGTCACAGATTAAGCCGGGTCTACAATCAGAGATAAACAATTGTCGCAGGGGTCCGATCGCAGGACATAAGCTGGATTTAAGCCTGAATTATAGATTGTCTTCCTTCCTTCCTCCAGTAAAAGATGAACAGTACGAAAAAAGTAGTGCCGGTTATAGATTCCCGTAAGGGATTGTATTGTTCTTCTTCTACGGGAGGAAGGAAGGAAGACAATCTATAAATCAGGCTTTATAGTTGTAACGTAGCGGCAAGAGATGACCTTTTATATTTTCTTACCTCAACCGCTACTCCAGCCAATCACACGGCAGTTTTCAGTTGGCAGCCTCGTAAATTGTCAAAAATGGGCACCGTCATTCGTGTGTATTTAGGGTATGTTCCGTAAATACACACGAGTTACCGGTCCGGTTAGTTCATATTTACGGGACACCTTTATTTGAAAAAACATAACCCAACTTACTTTTTTCGACCTACTCTTTAAAATCTCTATAGTTAATTTTTTTTTATCTGGACTCGTGTTTTTTTGTTAGGTTGGTGGCTTATGCCAGTTTGACTTAGTGCAAAATGAACTTTGAAGCTGCAAATTTCTTTTTTAATGAGCTTTTAGCAACAAGTGATGAATCTGATGGTGATGATGATTTGGTATTGCGTGGGCATGTCCATGTTATTTTAAAATATCGCATTTGACTAAGCAACCTCCATTAATTTGTTCATTTTGTTGAATCCAAAGGACTTGCAAAGTTTTTAAGATTTTTTATTGAAACTTTTATTTGTGTCAAAAACTACAACTTGCATATAATTTTAATAATATTTCTAGTTACATAAACAAACCTAAAACACCCTATATACTGAATTTAATTATTTTTGGACAAAACGTATTTTGTATGCGAAGTCTGCTCCTGTGTTAAATTTTTAGGTTAGATAACCAACAAAACCAGGGTTGGGTCAGTAGAAAACCTTAGGTAATTTACCTTGGTAGAAAGGGTAGAAAACTTGTTTTCGACTTGCGTCGAAAACCTATAGGGTTTTCTACCTACGTAAATTACCTTATTCGACCTTCTCCTTCCACTTCTCTTTAATTGATAAAAATTTGCCCTCATGCCAAAAATTATGTTGGGGTCTCCCAACCAAACGTGGCCTTTTTTTTCCCACCATAATAATGTTAAAAAACTCCAAATTACTTCAAATTTATGGTAGGTGTCTGATTTTTCACAACATTTAACAAATCATAATAAACAACAAACTTGCATAACCTCACATTTTTTGATATTTGACAGTATTCTACTTTTTTACGTTTTCTACCGTCGAAAACGTCGAAAAAGGTTTTCTACATGTCGAAAACAAAAATGTAGGTAGATACCCAACCCTGAACAAAACACAGTAATTTTATTTAGGGCAACACTGTTTCCATTTGGTTTGCAGCACTGGTAACCGATTTAACCGATCATACAGCGTCGGTCGTTTCGGTAACGATTGGTTAACCTATTTTTCAGGAACCGCGTTTCTTAACTAGGGTAAGGTGGGGCAGGTTCGGACACGTTTTTTCAAAAATTAATATTTTAAAGATAACAAACTTTTTTAGACTTAATGCAAATACTACGGATTGCTTAGTCTATTTCCAACATTTTAGCATTATCTTAAGCAAAAAATATTAAGTGGTTTTCGTTTGGTGATATTTTACTTTAAAAAATGCATTTGTCCGAATCTGCCCCATATTGGGGCGCATTCGGACAAGTAGTGAGGTACTTTCGGACAGGCCTGAGAAAATTTAGAACCTATTTATTTTTAGAATAAATAAGAGACTATAGATATATGTATATATATATGTATATTAGAAAAAGTTTATTAAACATTATAACCATCAAAATTGACATTAAATTTAAAGAGCGAACACATCCTTAAAGTTCCTGGTGCTGCCTCTGGTGCTGCTTCGGTATTTTCGAAACTATATCTTCTCTGGAAACAGTCGAAATATCTTGCAAGTCCGGAAAGCGGAAACCGCTTTTATACTTCCTCAAAAAATTTAAGACGTAAGAGCCTTCATTATTGCAAGATTCTATCTTGCCGATATAATGAAGTGTCCTTCTGTTGGTCGGGTATTTGACAAGCAAATAATCATGACACTGGATCACGTCATCATGCAATAGCATGAGCACATCGTCATTGTCTTGAAACTCGTCCAGAGAATCGGAATCAAAAATTTTTGTCTCATGCACAATATTCTGTGGTAAATCTATATCAGAATCCGAGGAGTCACTTTCTATTTTTTTTAACTTTTTCTTCGGCGCCTTTCCTTTGCTCTTCTCCCCAACTTTTGTATCATTTTTCTTCACTTCACATTCGCTTTGTAATGCTTTTCTTTTCGTTTTTTTTTTCTCCAACTTTTGTTTTCTCATTGTTTTTAATTCTTGAATTCTTTCCTTTTCCGGTGTGCTTGTATAAATTCTGGATTTACCTTTTACCTTTTTTCTTTTTAAAATAAAACTTTACGTACCATCCCAGAAAGTTAAATCATTCAAAACTGGGTTTTATTTGTAAAATGGGGCACATTCGGACAGTCCGAAGCTGCCCCACCCGATTTGTCCGAACGTGCCCCATGTTCCAGAAATACATAGATATTAAAATAAAAATTCGCACATGGTTAACTGATGCTGTTTTATGAGGTTATGTATCGCCAAAGATATTAATATCTGCCGTAAAAGGTATAAAACTTACCTTACTGGTGTTCTCAAGCCATGGCTTGCAAGAAAGCTTACGATAGCCCTAATAAAATTTATAAGAATAACTATGTTTTTATATTTTCTCAAATAAATAGTTGTCGAGTGATCAAAGTCGCTAAACATGTACGGACCACAGAACTATTAGTGTAGAAGGATATTTACTGTCAATATGGAAACTCTCGTAGCACTTTAAGGCGGTAAATTTGATTTGTCCGGAGGTGCCCCATGTCCGAACCTACCCCACCTTACCCTACATAATTTTCAGGAATTTTTCATTTACGGGACACCTTAACCGAAACCAAACCAACCAAGTTGACTTACGGAACATACCCTAAATGAACTGCTCTCAGAGATATGGATATCTCTGACTGCTCTTCATCAGTCAGTTCCATTTTGTTATAGCTGCCGCTACCTTTAGAACTATTAAGCCTCATTTATAGATTGCCTTCCTTTCTTCCTCCCGAAGAAGATGAACAATACAATCCCGTATGGGAATCTATAAACGGCACTACGGTTTTAGTATTGTTTATCTTTTACGGGAGGAAGTAAGGAAGACAATCTGTAAATCAGGCTCTAAGCTGGATTTATAAGGTGCGTTATTTTCGCCTCACTTTAGTTAATGTGATATGAGATGTAGTGATCTGAGTAAGCATTAAAAAGAACGACATTCCCGTACGGAAATCTATAAATGACACTACGATTTTCGTATTGTTCATCTTTTACGGGAGAAAGGAAGGAAGGAAGGCAATCTATAAATCAGGCTTTATGGATAATACCTTCCTGCACCCTTTGTGCATCTTCAGTGGACATATTATATATTAAAGACGTTTCCCGATCTATATTACTTATTCTTTCCATAATTGGGTGACAAACAAAAACAACACTTTTTTGATAAGAATATTAATTTTATAAAAAAATAAAAATTAAAAAAAAAAACTTCACTTTGACATGTTTTGTTTAATTTTATTGTAAAAAGTGTTTTTCTACTTCTGAAAAACAATTTTATTCGAATTCTATTTATTATATTAAGTTTATAGCTAATTTAAAAAATTTAAGTTTTATGGCAAGAAATCACCTAAATAAGATTAGGTTATGTTATTTAAAAACTTAACAAATAATTTCTTTATCCCCTCCACTTTATTTCCGACTTAATTCAAACTGATTCCCCCGCACAGCATATGTAGTATCGGTGAGGGGGGAGGAAAAATCTCAGCTCACTTTATGGCTTTATGGTGAGTGCACAATACTGGAAGCAGCGTTGCCATTCGTAAGGTAATTACCGTATTTGTACGGTAATTTGAATGAAAATACGGTATACGATCCAAACCTCAACACCGTACACAAATGTACGGTAAATTTACTGACATATTTTCATACATAATACATTATTATCAACAATATTTTTTTATTTTTTTGTGTTTTTATTCTATTTGTTTATTGTCTATAGAAAAACCTCCACAGAAAGTGGAAGTATGTGAATTTCTAAGGTGAATTTAAATTAATAAAGCGCCATCTAGGGAATTCTTAGTAAATAAATGGATCACTCCGACTGTAGGGTTCTGTAATGCCGACATTGATGAGAGAATAATAAAATTAACCTAACTTTTATACTCTTTCTCTATTCCCTTTGCTAAAAGCGACCAATTTGTTTTAAATTTGTATATTCCCGCTAAAATTAAATTGTTTTGTTCTTTGGTTTTGTTATTAAATTTGTCTGATTTGAGTAGCGATAATGAACCATCTGCAAAAAAAAATAAAAGGAACCCACCAAAAACAGTTTTTAATAAAAATATTTTTTTATTTTGTTTAATTGTTTTTTTGCTTTTATATATTTTATATATTAAATATTTTATTTTAATTTTTCAAATGTACGGTAATTTTTTCTTAAATACGGCAATTTTACCAAGCAGGTAAGTACGGTAATTTCATTTTGACCATCAGCGTTGCCATTCGTACAGTAATTACCGTATTTGTACGGTAATTTGAATGAAAATACGGTATACGTTCCAAACCTCAATACCGTACACAAATGTACGGCAAATTTACTAACTGACATATTATATATTATATATTTTCAAACATAATATTATTAACAATATTTTTTTATTTATTGCGTTTTTATTCTATTTGTTTATTGTCTATAGAAAAACCTCTATGGTCCTTTGCTTCTCTTGTCTATGGTTTTTCTACACATTTAAACCTTAGATCATACAAGGGGATGAATGTATGATCTATGATTTAAACAGTGTTTAATA